GGAAAACAATAAGAAATAAACAAAAGGTCACCTTTAACTTTCCAACTAGAATGATTAGGCATAGTAAGTGGTAAGTAGAACTTGAAATGGGTTAGTTTTAAATTCATACAACAATCAAATAAGAATTTATATGAAAGCAATTTATAATACAGTATATCATTTAAGTACCAAAGACAATTTCAAAATGCCTCTTCCTAGAGACTATTACCAATTTTAATAGATAAAGTTAACTATTTGTCTTTGTTAATTATAAAAGCAGGATGTTCCCGAACTTCTCACATTACCCAAAACTCTTAAAAAGTATATATAACCAAATGTTAACTTCTATGGCAAAATACACATAACCCCATGGACATTATTTCTAGCCATCTAAGATACAATTAAAGTCACAAAATCTGGAGTTTGGAAGGGTCTTGGAGAACTAGCAAGTTTCCAAGCTGGTGACAAATCTCTTTTACAATATCCCTTACAGTAAAAGGGTCAATCAGTCTATGCTTTACCATATCTAGTGACACAAAACACTATTTTTTGTTTTTCTTTTTTTAAAGATTTATTTATTTATGCATACAGAACTGGGGTACAAGCCAGAGGTGCAGGGGTGGTGAGAGGATTCACCGGAGACAGAGTGGGGAGCAGAACAGGGAGATTGATGAAGTACAATGCTGAGGAGAGCAGTGAGTGAGGCAGGAGAAGTCTGCTGAGCCATGTGGATCACCTCCAGGGCTGGGGATCGAACTGGCACTGAAGTGGCTGCGGCCAGCTTTCAGTGCTGTGTCCTAACCCACTGTGGCACCAGGAAGGGCCGAAAACACTATTTTTCAAAGCCCACTCTTTGTTAGGATAGCTTTGTGAATACTTTTAAAATCTGCCTCCCCTCAACCCCTCCACTTAGCCTGGTTTAACTCCTACATGATATTTCTTCAACTATTTAAACACCATTGTTCTCTTATGCTTCCATGCTGCTAAACCAAGCCATCTCAATCTCATTAAAATCATCATATAAAATGCTGACCCTTCTTGTCAGCCTCATCATCCTTGTCTGATATCTGTTTTTCATTGCTACTTTTAAAACATGTCCAGAGCTGAATGCAATACTAATAACAAGTCATGAAACAGCACAATGGAACTAATATCAAATAGAATACAGCATCTAGACCTAGTGCTGGTCAATAGAAACTCTTAAGTTCCATCTGCATTGTCCAACATACCAGCTATGAGCCTCATGTGGCTCTTAAACTCTTGAAATGTGTTTAAAGTGACTGAGGAACTGAATTTATAATTTTTTTCAACTTTAAAATATAGGTAGACACACTGTTTATTAAAATTTCCTCAAAATGTCACATAAATTATTTTGTTCAATGCATTGTAAATTTACTTATGAATATGTCAAGACTTAGTTTAAATAAATTAAAATGAGGTATTTTCTGCATTCTAAATTAGCTACTAATTTCTGAAAATAGTCAATTTAGGATACTATTAGCTGGGTATAGTTGGTCCATGAATGCACATGATAAAAATAACGGAATACTTTCTTTTCTACTAGTTATGTAAGTGTCTACAAAGTAACACTCTAAATAGAATAAGAAAATAATTTCAATTTATTTGCAAAAGTAAAAACAGTAAGGATGCAAAATCACATAGTATCATCACTATAACATCTTCAAAGGTCTCCACTTAAATGTTTTCTAAGTGTCTGAGACATATCTTCCCTCAAATAAACTTCTGCATCTCACATCTCTTTGCACACCCCTCACAAATTTCAAGTTGCCTGTTTACCTACTTTTTTCAATTCAAAAAATGGCAAATCATTCCAGCTGTGCAGGCCTAAAATCTTGCTGTCATTTCCTTGACTCCAATCCTTCTCTCACACACCAAATGCTAATCTAACAATTGCTATTTTCTCTGCCTGGAATGCTAACCTCCCAATTCTACCTGCATAGCTTGTGTTTCTTCCTCTCCACCAAATCTATGCTCAAATAATTTAGTGAGAGGCCATCTGCCCTATAACTGCAAACCAACTACCCATACTCTCTATCCATCCCTCCCCTACTTTATCACTTTCCATGTGACATACTGTGTGCTTTATTCATTTGCTCCCTTTAGGAGGAAGCAACAAGAGAGAAAAGATGTCTGTTTTATTCACTTAAATATCCCCACTGTCTGGCCTGAAAAAGTCAAACACGACACATATGCAAAATACTATATATGCAAAATGACTCAATCAAGGATGTAAAGGAAATAACTGACATTAGGGTAATGGACTAATTACCTTTACAAATAAAAATAGGTAAAAGAACAATTTTTAGCATTGTTTTAAGTGGCCAGTACATCATTTGAAGTCTGTTAGTTAAAATTAACCTTCATCCAGCACTCTGGTTTAGAAAGCCAGGCTCCAGGAGACGCTCTCTCCTAACTTTGCCTACTCCACCTCCATCTTTTCTCAACTTTTACCATGCCTTAAAATTAACTCAGTAAAGAAGAAAATGAACCTAATGTAAATATTTCAACTGTTTCATTCCCTAGTTTAAGCAGGCTCATGGTTGGTTTAATTTGCTTCACAAGCATATTACTGCCTATAATTAGAAAATAACTATTTTTCACATTATAGGCTTGTCTTATTCTACTTAATTAACTTAACATAAAAATCCACTTCTCTAGTTGTACTGACAACATTTGAAATGTTCAGTGCCACAGGACGCTAGTAGCTACCACACTGACCAGCTCAAATACAGACACTATAGAGAGCTTTGCTATGCAGAACTGCTCTAGGCTTTCTTCCTAAAACTTTACTTGAAAGTACATAACTGATTCAGGTAAAACCGAGGCTGAGTTTAACACTGTCATTCTGATTCTCTGTGTCGGTGAGTAGCCCCTGGAGCAGCAGCACCAGTATTGAAGAACTTGAGAAATAAAAATTCTTGACCCTCAGCATTCACCTCCTTTTCCAATTTGCAGATCTCTTTTCACATCAACATCAACATAATCACATTTAACCTTGTCTAAAGGTTAAATTAGAAGTCCTTAAACTAGTGGACACAACAGTGGAATAACCAGGAAAGAGGGAGAAAGTTCACAAGTAAAAATTACTTTTACAATAAATAAAACCTATTAGCTAGAATTAATGCAGCAAGAAGTTGAACTAAAGTTGTACAAGTGTTACAAAAGAAGCTAAACAACTAGCTACTCTAATTTCCTCTTAACCACAGACCTAACATAAGACCAAATTTTTGTATATTACTAGTCATGGGTGTCAAACATCTCTTATTAAATTGTCCATAGGAAACATGTGAAGAGGGTTCAGCTAGGAGTGGCAATGTAATAGTACTCTAAAATGATTATGAAACCACAGGGACAAGATCTAGTCTTGGCTTACTAGAAATGTGGCCCAAAAAAGGAGTCTTAGAGAGCCTGATTGATTACAAGTCTGCCACAGCCAAGTATCTACTGAGATGAACCTATCAGTGGAAAATTACTTAATCACAAATCGTGTATAGAATGTTTTCGTGTACACTGCAACCGTAGTAGGTACTAGAGCACTTTAAGAAATTTTATGACAATACTTACATCTTTAGTACATGTGGAACCCATGTGAACCTAAATTACACTTCATTTACTGCCTTACTATTGCTCCAACATATAAACATCCACTTCCAACCAAATATTTTTCCTTAAAGTGAATACTGGCGATGCTTGACAGAATTTTGAAATCTAACCATCCTTCACTGCTGAACACTAAGGACACAGGTTCTTATTATATTGTAAAACATCAATTTTATTATAAAAAAAAGATAATAAGCAATGTGAAGCGCTAGTCAAGTGCTAGCAGTGCTATTTATTTCTCTCACTCATCTTGATGTTCTGAGCACAGATTCATACATAAAATGTACATTTAATTGGCATTTCTGAGGGAAAAAAAGAGTTAAGTTCTTGGAAAGGATTCGAAGATATTTTAAAAGCCCCAGCCCTCAAGGAGGTTACAGACCAACCTAGGAGACCTGACAAACACACGAAAAGCTAAATGACATGTAACAATTAAAAAGATCATGTGGCAGGATATGTTTATTTGCAAAGTTAGTGACAATGAAAGTACCAGCAGTCCAGGTCTCCCAGACCCCGGCACAGTATTTCGATGTAAAAAAAGAAAAAGTGACACAGCATTCATGCCACAATAAAATTATCATTAAAGGACGGGCTACAATAACTAAGGAGAAAGGCAGAAAGAAACTTCCATACAAGGCTTTTAAAGCACACGGTACCCCAGGAAAAGTTAGAACATTACACACACACACAACCTGGGATCTTCTGGATCCCAGGATCTTTGAAATATAAAAGCCTCTGGGGGACAGCCTTCCTTGATTATTTCTTCCTCCGCGCCCCACAAAGCTTTCCACTGGACAGTCACCCCAGAAATTTCTCCCAGCATCTGCAATGACAATCCTCTCATCTTCCTCTCCCTCCCCTCTTCTGTATCAGACCGTGGCATCTCCCTCCAGAGGAAAAAACGGAGGGCGGGGGAGGCAGGGTAGGAGAGAAAGCTTGCAGCCAGGCGACTAAGAAGTAGGAGGATGGTGGGAAGACGCGGGGGGCGAGGGTGAGGTCCTCTGGGTTTCCAGCCCAGTCCCTAGAGTCTGGCCTAGCCTCCCCACCCCGAGGGCACGCCCCTCGCCCGCCGGACCCCAAGAGCAGGCGGCGGTCTCCAATGACAGCCCAGCCACCTGTGCCGCACCCCCGGCCCCCGGCCGCGAGGAGCCGCCAGCCCCAGCCCCACCAGCAGCGGCCTCAAGCTCCTTCTCCCCCCTTCCCGTCCACGTCGCCAAGGAGTGACAGGTCCCCGGGGAGAAGGCAGGAGCGCACGCCGTTGGGGACCTCCGGAGCCACCCTGCGCCAAAACCCTCCATCGCGCGCCAGGAGGTAAACGGAACGTCTCGGACGGCCCCGGGGGACCCGGGCCAGGCCTGGCCTGTCCCAATTGCCCCGCACCGGCCCGGGGTGGCACTTACTGCGAAGGTTGTGGATCAGCTCCGAGTGGCTGGCGCCGCCGGATTTCCAGGCCATCGCTAGGCACACTCGGAGCAGGTACAAAACCGCCTTCAGAGCGGCGACGGTGCCGAGCAGCTTCGCCAAGAGTGAGACCACTTCCCACACGGTCACCGCCCCACCCGCGTCCCCGCTGGAGCCGCCGCTTTGACTGCCGTCGCCGCCGCTGCCGCCACTGCGCGCTCCCGGCATCCCCCGCGGCACGCATGCGCTCTGTGACGCCGCGCAGCCTGGGGTGCGGCCGGGTGGGGCTGGAGGCGGGGGTGGCCTCGCGCCCGGTCGCCCGCGCTGCTGGCTGCGGTTGCTGCCGGGTACTGGCCCGAGGCCGGGCTGATTCAGCGCCGCCGCTGCCTCCGCCGCCTGCCTTGTTCTGAGGCTTTCGGCTGCGCGCCGCCTCCGCGCTGGGTAGCCCTGAGGCGGGCGGGTAGGCGGTCGTGTGCGGGGCCGCAGCTCTGGTCACCGAGCGCGGCGGCGGGGTGGCAGGACGGATCTGTGCCGCCGCTTCTGCCGATCTGCTTTCGCCGCAGCCGGTGGCTCCGCAGTGGCCGCCGGGTCAGCTGTTGCGAGCCGCGGGTCTGCTCCTATAGCTGTCCAGATTGTTAGGCGGTGGGCTTCCTCAGTCTGCTACTTCACCCAACCCAGTTGTCTGTTAGGTGGACTAGAGACCCGGCTCCCTGTTGCGGAGCGCGAATTATCTTCCCAGAGCCGCAGAACTCAGGCCTCCTCTACCCGAGAACTCCAGCCTTTGGCTTTGTGACTAATATGTAACTGTTTTGTTAGCAGAGACCAGGATACCCTGATTTGTTCGCAATTCTTAAAGGCACAAATGCAGAGAGTGGAAGAATACCGTGACACCAGAGGTGAAACGAAGCAAAGGGAATACTCAGAGCAAATGCAATTGGTTAAAAATACCACTGGATCCTGTAGTTAGTGATTAATTCTTCCAACACAAGTGTGTGTTTTCAGCTCACAGCCTCAAATGCCACAGCTCTATTGCTGTCAGCTCTGCAAAATCGTGCAATAAGTGAGACATTGACAAAGATACCTGTCATACCCAGTTCGTAATTTAAACTCCCAGTCAGAACTGCAACTGCAAAATCCAATCACGCAATTCAATAAAAATTTAAGGAAGGAAACAAAATTATGTTAAGGCATGTGGATTATTGGGTCAGGAGCAATTTTTAAATTCTAGTTCTCGCAACATTTTGTCAAATGTAACACAACCTACTTCCATTTCGAAATATACATCACCTATTTCCTGGAGACTTCTGATTGTACATGAAATGACTCTCAAAGCATTGTTCTTCATATTAGGAATAAACTGCAATTTGGGGCTCTAATAGTTTTCCATTGCATCTCAGTAGTTTCTAATGGTCTTTTGGTTTAAAAAACAAACTGTCAAACCCTGATAACTCTCTATAGCTGATCTGAGGGATTGCATTTAAGTATGGCAGTTCCATTCTTAACAGATACCATATTAGAAAGAAAAAAAAAAATCAGGGCCCTCCCTGGTGGCACAATAGGTTTAGGACGCAGCACTGCAAGGTAGCCTCAGCCACCTTACTGCGAGTTCCATCCCTGGCCCCAGAGGTGACCCACATGGGGTGGCACACCACTCCTGACCCCGCCCACTGCTCCCCTCGCCAATGTACTTCGTCCATCTGCCTGTCTTGTTCCCCACTCTGTCTCTGGTGAAGCCTGTCACCTCTGGCCTGTATCCCAGTTCTGTATGTCCAAATAAATAAATCTTTTTAAAAAATCAAAGACCTGCTTACAAAACCGACACAATTATAAAGGGCCCATGAATAAGTCATACGTTGTGTGCAACAGGGTTTACATTCTCTTATCGTAGAGGCCCACAGCAAAAGAAAGCTAGCAACAGAGGGCAAAATGTGTTATTAGTGGTTTAGCTATTAAGTGCTACTATCACTTTAGATCATTATGATGGACTTATCAGGAAAAGATATAAAAAAAATGATTCTTGAAAGATGGGCAGGATTCTAAGAAGTAGAGTAATGGAAAGATGTTAGAGGCACAATCAAAAGCAAAGAAGGATCTGAAAGTACTGATTCCTGAGCGTAGGCATCACATATCGAACTAATTTTTAATCATATACATAAATGAATTGAAGGCTATACAGGCAATAGGTGTGAACACTAGAACTGAAGTCTTCAGAATTCCAACTCCAGATTCTAGCAAGTACGGTTAACATTTTGGAGTAAAGAACCTGTGAGACAAAGAGGAAAAGATTTAGAATACTAAATTGGTACGCTAATGAACGTTCTTCCGTGAGAATTTACGGGTTTTTAATCTTTTCTACGCCCAATGAAGTGCAAAACGAAATTCTAGCTACTACCTTGTTTGTCTTGCATTATTTTATTTTGTTGTTGCTTTCAAATTTGCTTTACGTTGCATAATTATATAATAATGACTTTTTCTTAGGGATGCTTTAATTTTGCAGATAAGGAGCAGGTCCTACAAGGATTGTCGCATTCTTGCCTTTATTCAAAGCACCTGCGCAAGAAGGGCGATCCAACTTCCGTTTAGAGGTCCCCACGGAGACCCAAGAGAATTGACGCTCGGCAGCCACCGTCCAGCTCCGGAGGTCCTGTCCAATCAGAGCTCCGCGGGAAGGGGCGGGACTGAGAGGCGCGCGCTGCGCTCGCAGTTCTACTGTGGCTGCTTTTCAGCATGGAGGAGATTTATGCCAAATTTGTGTCTCAGAAAATCAGCAAAACCCGCTGGCGACCGGTACCTCCGGGGAGCTTGCAGACCGCGGAAACCTTCGCTACGGGTTCTTGGGACAATGAGGTACCCGCACTGCCGAGCGGGGGAACCCCTGTCCCCGCCCTTTTCCCTAGCACCGCGCCCCAGCCAGCCAGCGCGGGAACTCACCTTCTGGCTCTTCTCGCCCATCTCCATCTCCCGGGTCCCGGTCTCGGGCTCTGTGGTTCTGTAGCTCAGAGCCTGCGCCTCGAACTCATTGTGTCTTAAACTGTCAGCATACCGTTTGTCTGAGATGCTTTTACAACAAGGTTGTTTGAAAGTAATTTAAAAGTTAGTTTCCAAGAGTTAGTGTGGTTTCATCCTAAGATAAAACTTTCTGCTTTACAGGAGAATTATGTTTCATTGTGGTCGATTGGAGATTTTGGGAACTTGGACTCTGACGGTGGGTTTGAAGGAGATCATCAGTTACTGTGTGATATCAAACACCATGGTGATGTCATGGATTTACAAGTAAGTCTGAAACCCAAAACTAACTTCTTAAAAAAATAGAATAATAAGTTTAGGTATGTGAAGGACCTTACAGTTTGTCTGGTCTTACCCCAAAACCATAGGAAATTCAGTGTGCCCTAGATTATGATTTGCCCAACATCAACGTAGCCACTTAGTGACAGAAGCCTTGCTGGGGAAGGGGATTTGCATTTAATCTTAGTGTTTTCTTCTTTTTTTAACACGGTGGCTTTTAATTTGTTTGATTTTAATTAATTAACTATTTACTATGTGTCATGCACTGGTTGGGGAGCTTTGCATAAGTTAATTCCCACCATATATTTGTGAATCAAATATGGTTCTCTGTTTTGCCAATAAGAAAACAGATTAAGATCTTTTAGACATGTATAGTGTTACACATTTTCATTGGAGAGAAGTGCTACTTTTTAAGAGCTTGGCTTTGACTAATGAGAGTCTCCCTACAGATGCCTAGATTCTTGGCTGTCAGCCAGTGGTAAACAAGGGCTCGCTACCCCAAGGGGCCAGGCAGTCTTTCCTATAGCAGTGTGTCTTGTACAAATGTTTTATTTTTTGACTTCTCAAAACAGCCCCTAAGTAGGGATTGGCTCTCCCATTTTAAGGATTTCCCAACTTAAGTTTGGAGAACATAAGTTGGCCAAAGATTCAAAGATAGTAGTAATTGGTGGGAATGAATTAAGTTTTCAAATCCTGGTCTGTCTGACTTCTCAATATTCCTGCATTTTGTTCCATAGAATGCTACCTAATCCTGGGAATAATACTTTTCTAAACTTTATTGTACTGAGACCAAAAATAACTCATTTATAGCTTAATGAGTTTAGAGAAAATAATCGTTATTTATTCTTCATGAAAATAATTATTCTTTTTAAAAATATTTATTTATTTATGCATACAAGAATGGGGGTATAGGCCAGAGGTGCAGGGGCAGTGAGACTTCACCAGATACAGAGTGGGGAACAGAACAGGCAGATGTACTGAAACGCACTGATGAGGGGAGCAGCGATCGAGACAGGAAAGGTCCACTGCATCATGTGGGTCAGCTCCCTGGCTGGGAATAAAACCGGTGCTGCAGTGGCTGGGGATAGCTTCACAGTGCTGTGCTTTAACCCGTGTGCCACCAGGGAGGGCCCGAAAATAATTATTCTTAACAGCATTTTTTACTTTCAGATTGGTCATATTTTATATGCTTAGAATTTATAGGCTCTTTGCTTTTTAAAATGACTATAATAGTAATTGAACTAAACACATGGGTTTGTTTTATAATGATATTTCTATATCTATACCAAACAAGAATTTTCTATTTAGTTTTTTGATCAGGAAAGAATTGTAGCTGCTTCGTCAACAGGATGTGTAACAATTTTCCTTCATCATCCAAATAACCAGGTAAAGAACTTTTATTTTTATTGTATTTTAATTATTTTTAGGAATTTTTTAAAAAATGCATTTTAAAAAAAGTTTTAATAGTGACACAGTGAGTAGTCCCCAGACATGGAGGAGAAGATATTGTTATATTACCCATCTTTTAGTGGATTGATGAGTTCTAGAACCATTTTGTGTTTTTTTTTTTTAAGATTTATTTTTTTTTTTTTTAAGATTTATTTATTTATACATACAGAACTGGGGTACAGGCCAGAGGTGCAGGAGTGGTGAGAGGATTCACCACAGACAGAGTGGGGAACAGAATAGGCAGATCGACAAAGTACATTGCTGGAAGTACACTGCTGAGGGGAGCAGCGGGCTGGTCAGGAGAAGTCTGTGGCGCCATGTGGATCACCTCTGGTGAGGGCGGGAATCGAACTCATGCTACAGGGGCTTTCACTTCTCAGTGCTGTGCTTTAACCCGCTGTGCCACCAGGGAGGGCCATGTGTGAGCTTTTTTTTTTTTTTAAAGATTTATTTATTTGTGCATACAGAACTGGGGTACAGGCCAGAGGCTCAGGGGCGGTGAGAGGCTTCACCAGAGACAGAGTGGGGAACAGAACAGGCAGATCAACGAAGTACACTGCTGAGGGGAGCAGGGGGCTGGTCAGGAGAGGTCTGCCACGCCATGTGGTCACCTCCGGGGCATGCGGGAATCAAACTCATGCGGAAGTGGCTTTAGCTTCTCAGTGCAGTGCTTTAACCCGCTGCGCCACCAGGGAGGGCCAAGACAATATTTTTTAATGCCTTTCTTATCTGTTAAACCAAGGAGTACTTTCTTTCAAAATACAGTGGTGAGTTTAAGTCTTTAAAATAGCCACACTTACAGTAATAGTATGAAGTTGCTGAAAGGCTGCTTGTTTAGATTTAGGAATAATGAAAGTTTCTGCACTAGTTGGTATGCCTGGTAAATGTAATACCTACCACTCCCTAAGAGTTTTTCTTAATGAAGTCTTTCCCAAAGTGCTATAAAGATTAATTTCTTATATGTAGGCCAGCACTCTTAAGAATTTATAATTGCTTTTGAACACACAACTACCCAATACCTAAAAACCATTTCTTCAGTTTGAGACAAATATAGGACACTATTGAGCAGCATTTCTTTTGAATCTGATCCAATGTGTACAGAGCATTGATGGAAGTTTCTAAACTATACTTCGGAAATACAAAGGAAAAAGGAGTTACCATTTTCAAAGAGTGTGACAGAATTTTAAAATACTCTTTAACTGGGGAAAAATGCCACTTTTTAGAGTTTTGTTTTGATTAATGATAGCCTTTCTTTGCTGTCTAGACTTTGTCTGTCAGCCAGCAGTGGACAAGAGCTCACTACCACTCAGGTCCAGGCAGTCCTTCCTGTAGTGGTGCGCCTTGCACAGGTGTTGTATGCAGTAACCCGGAAATTGTCACAGTTGGAGAAGATGGCCGTATAAATCTCTTTAGAGCTGATCACAAGGATGCTGTGAGAACTATAGGTAAGATAAAATTTCTGCTTTTCTACTGTCCATCACATATTTAAGTGCTAAGTACACAAATCCGAGGTGTCTGAGAGAGATAAAAACAACAAAGCAGGATCCTTTTATCAAGATAATGTCCTGTTAAGACCTATATTGAATGACTACAGAGGAGATGGAAACTGCTTTTTTTTTGGTTGGGGGGGGGGTGATAGAGACAGAAGCAGGTGTAATTTTTTAGGTTTTAGACCATTAATAACACTAACAGATGGGAATAGGGTGGAGACAGGATAAAATGTTCAGAAAGACCAAAGGGACAGGCTTATCTGCCTTTAGATATTTGTATGATAGAGTCAAGCGCTAAAGCAAAAATGGTATATTGGGACCAGGTTGCAAAGCGTCTAATGCACAACTATAAAGGGTACATGCCATTAGGAGAACTAAGAGTCTTTGAAAGTTTTTGCATAATGTCATGCTTTAAAAAGATTATTCTGCTATAGTAGGTTTCAACTGCTTCATACAGACTTGTCTAGGTTTTTGTTTTTAACCCTAGGCCTCCTTTATCAGAATTCCTATGCATGGAATCATTTTTTTGTGTGTGTGTGTGTGTTGTTTACTGTGATTTTTGTTTCTGAGGAATAACACTGGTTTAGTTGTTAAGGACTATTGCATTGTGGCAGTGTAGTGGAGTGTCACAAGAGTCTCTAAGTATGCGCTTTACTGTGTGAAAGAAGCTCTAAACACTTCAGGGAGAGGAAGGACTTTGCAGAGGAGGGAGAATGAATGTGGATCCTGATGGCTGGCTCTGCGAAGATGAGTCAGCGGATAATGCAAGGTCAGAGTCGGCTCCGTAGGAAGCACTGCACTTGACTTGGAAAGTGGTTCTGGTTTAGGGACAGTGGGAAATAGAACTGGCTGTGAGAGCTGAACAACTGTTTTGGAATTGGGGGTAATGGTCTTAAGTAGAACTTCAGAAAGACATGAGCACTCAGTCTTCTGTTTAGAAAACACTCTGGTCTTCTGTGTCAAATGACTTTTTCTATCAGAATCCATTTTGACATGGGTTACTATGCATTTTTCTGTAGAAATTAACTGTGGCATTTAAAGTGTCATTTGCAGTATTTTAATCCATACAAGGACTTTAGATCTTCATGGGAAAAGAGAACCCATTAACACAGACTGCGTTTTCTTGATTTGTAGAAAATGCAGACAGCAGTACGCTCCATGCTGTAACTTTCCTTCGAACTCCTGAGATTCTTACAGTAAATTCCATTGGACAGCTAAAAATATGGGATTTTAGACAACAAGGAAATGAGCCCTCTCAGATATTATCACTGTAAGTTTGGATTTGTGATTTCAGTTGTGTCATGCAAAATCATTCAGTTGCTTACAGCAGTGTACTTTTTTATTTTATTATGTTACTTTTTAAAAAAATTTTTTTTATGCATATAGAATTGGGGTACAGGCCTGAGTGCAGGGGTGGTGAGAGAATTCACCATAGACAAAGTGGGGAGTAGAACAGGCCAACTGACGAAGTACACTGCTGAGGGGAGCAGCAGGCGGGTCAGGAGAGGTCTGCCAGCCATGTGGGTCACCTCTGGGGCGGGGATTGAACTAATGCTGAAGTAGCTTTAGCTTCTTAGTGCTATGCTTTAACCCTCTGCACCACCAGTGAGGGCCCACAGCAGTGTACTTTTAACCATACTATATTTCAATTACTTTTAAGAGCGTGATCCCTGATTAAATTTGATAAAATAAAGAATAATTGATGAAATTTATTTGCTACCAGGCTGCAGTCACTCAATATATTTTGTTGTATTGACTCAGAGTCTTACCTCTTTGAAGTTTATATTATTTAGTGGGGTGGGCATATCACAGTCTAGGCATGATTTGGAGCAAAATACAAGATAATTTTTCTGAGCAGAAATCTATGCATGCAGCCTTTTCTAGTAAAAATGTAGAATGTGTCAACCAAAAGTAATTATATCAACTAAGCTGATGTAGAAGTAAAGAGTATACTGTTTGTTAGCTCTCTATATATTTTTTAAGCCAAGTATTGGACATGATTTGCACGTCTTACTATCAGGTTATCAAGCTCATTGCGTCTCCAGAAATTGAAGAGAGAAAGAATTACTTTGGCTTTTGTTTACCACCCTACCGCCGCCCTCTCCCATGCTGATTTTTAGAAATACAAAGTTCAGCCAGTAGCTCCAACCAGAGTTACCTTTTGGGTACTAGAATGAAATATGTCTCGTGGGTTATAAAATGGTAAATTAGACTTTTACAACATGAAAAAACATCCGTGTTGGATGTCATTGTGTCTCCCATTAGGACCGGTGACCGAGCACCACTCCACTGTGTGGACAGACACCCCAACCAGCAGCATGTCGTGGCTACTGGTGGCCAGGATGGAATGTTGAGTATTTGGGATGTGAGACAAGGTACTATGCCGGTGTCTCTGCTGAAGGCTCATGAAGCAGAAAGTAAGTGTCGTGGCTTAAGATTTTTTTGGGGTGAGTTACGTGATAGGTTGTCAGCAGTGCTCAATAATGATACATGTGGATCATTTTACGTCAGAGCCTTTAGTTGGAGTGATTAATCACCTCTTTTTTCCACATCTAAATTCCTTGATATGTTTCATTATTCCATCCACACTAGTGATTGTCTTATATACTCATCTTTCTGTGCTTAGTTTCTTTGTACTTTTTAGTAGTAGATGTGATGAACCAGAAACTGCATGATTTTAAAGCTGTTGTATATGTCAAATTGTTCTACATAAAAATCATACCAGGTTATTTTGTTATGCTCAGTGGGTGAAAATGTCCTTTTACCATGCAAATTCAGGCTTAGTATTTGATAATCTGTGTTCTTCAATTTATTATTGTATTTTAAAATAAACCCAAAAACAGTAGATAGGAAATTGTCATTTTCTTTCTATTTGTCTTGATTTTGCTGGGAGTTTTTTGGCTGGATGGAAATTTTTCACTTTATCACTGTGTTTTTATATCATGTCAGAATGAATACTTTTAAATTCTGATTTAAGACAAGTTTGTATTAATACTGAATGAAAGTACAAGGGATTAATACTACATCAGTCTTGGCAACTTCACAGCTTAAGAAAGCTGTGTATTACAACTGAGGAAAAATGACTTAAGATTATATTTAAAAAGTAAATAAAAGGAAAGACAAAACTTTGCCCACTCCAGGTATAGCTTAGCAATGTCCAGGAAAACAAAGAACAAAGAGGGAATATGTCCTCAGGGCCTGATGAAGTCTCCCCCATACTGCTGGAATTACACACATTCAGAACTCTTCTTACCAGTGCCTTTGAAACTCCACCCTCTGTTGTTAATCAACACGTGCAATGTCCTGACTTGAATGTATTATTTTGAGTTCATCCTGACTCCTGGCTAGAGATGAAATAAGTTGTTTTATAAGGTTTGAAAGTAGATACCTAAGAGTCTAAATTTGGGCAGTTTGCCAGTGACTCCATAAACTGTTTTGTTTTACTTTGTTTTCATGAAACAGAATGAAAGTTCATCATATAATCACCCATGTGGAACACATTCTTCCCGCCTGAGGAAGGCAGCCTTCTTTTTGTTTTGTGCCTTTGGGTTTAATGGTGTAACTGTCAGGATGAAAATTTATCCCCATGGAAACTTGTGCCTTGTGCTTTTTATGCTGTACCCCAGGCATGTGCTGTGCTGGTTCTTAAAGGTCACCGAACCAGGGGCTCAGTACCCTGTTCATAGACCACCTGTTTTATCAGCGCGTGGCAGGTAATATTCTGAGTAGTCCAGGTGGCCACTGGCAGCCAGATGTCTACTGGCACACAAAGTTCCCTTAAACTTTACAGCATAAGGGGACCCCAGTCCTAACTTGACTTCTTAAAAGCCCTCCATCTAAAACTGGGTCCAAATTATTGGAGCGTTTCCAGGTTTTGTTTGGCTAAGAGCTAGTTGCTATTTGTGTGATTTAAGCTAGGAGTGTCAAAGGTCCTGGCATGAACCAAAAGTGGACTCAACTATTTAGAAATTTATTTGTACAATACTTTTATAGTCCTCTCTGTCTTTCCAGTAATATAATCTTCATATGTTAATGATGCAGGAATGGAAGATAAGAGAACCTCCCTGTTTTTTTGTGGGTTTTTTTTTTGAATTTTTTTTTTTTTTAATTATTACAAAAGTTTAAAAACCTCCCTGTTTTTTAAAAATCTTTTCAGGATTATCCAATCTTCATACTTTCCCCCAAAAATCTGAGGAGTCATATGACAAACATTTCATTCATTTGCTGGTACAGTGCATGAGTAGATTTATTTGGCTTCTTTATCCTGTCTACATGTTATGGTCATCTGGGAAGTCATGTTATATCTTTTTTTTTTTTTTTTTTTTTAAAGATTTATTTATTTATTCATACAGAACTGGGGTACAGGCCAGAGGCTCAGGGGCGGTGAGAGGCTTCACCATAGACAGAGTGGGGAGCAGAACAGGCAGATCGACGAAGTACACTGCTGAGGGGAGCAGCGGGCGGGTCAGGAGAGGTCTGGCTCGCCATGTGGTCTCCTCCGGGGCAGGCGGCAGGCGGGAATCGAACTCATGCGGAAGTGGCTTCAGATTCTCAGTGCTGTGCTTTAACCCGCTGCGCCACCAGGGAGGGCCGTCATGTTATATCTTTTAATTCTGAAACCTTTCATTCTCCTTATCACAGACTTAGGGTTTAAAGGTATGTGTTGGATGTTAATGGAAGGTGATGCCTAGATAAAGCTGTTTATATTTGTTTAAATAATCTGCACAGGGATAAACTTCTTGGTTGTGTTTTAGTGTGGGAAGTTCATTTTCACCCATCCAACCCAGATCATCTGTTTACTTGTTCTGAAGATGGGTCCCTCTGGCATTGGGATGCCTCCACAGACATACCTGAAAAGTCATCACTTTTTCATCCAGGTAAAGTTTTAATGAAGATATTTGTAATTTTATTATACTTAAGTTAATAAGTTATAAATTCTGGTATTTTTATATAAATTCTGGTATTTCTAACATTGAAGAATGACAAAATATTTTCTTTCTCCTGCCACAGGGGAGTAATTCTAGTACCTTAGGATTTGTAATCTAACTCTCAGTTAATTGCTGATGACAATTAACTGGTGACTTCAGATGACCAGGGTTGTCTTTGTGAGTACACTGTCCTGGGTCTTCTGGCTAGATGACAGGCTTGACAAGTTTAACATTGCCTCCTGCCAAGGCAGGAATATGGCAAGGCGTAACTTAGTCTTTTCTGTATTAAGAGGCTAGTTTCTCCTCGGACTAAATGGGCTTTCTCCTTCTGAAGGACATAAGTAAGTAAAGGTTAGCTAGAAGCTATATACTAGTGATTGTGGGGTTAAGGGGTTTTGTTTTTGCCATTGACCTTTTCCAAGCTTCCTGCTTCTGAGTTGTCTGTGGTTCCAAAGTTCATGTCTTCAACCAGTTCAGTATTAGCTACACTCTCTCCTCGGTGCTGGCGCCTGCAGCAGTGAGCAGAACAAATGTCTACACATACTGAGTAAATGTACTAGCAGGCTGTCAGTAGATGGTCTCAGTAAAGGCCCAATCAGAAGACAAGCTACTCTAGATTTAAAGAAACTGGTTTCATGTGTGTTAGAAGGGTTAGACAAGCAAAGGGACTAGAAGGAAGCTGGAAGAGCGAATAGGAAGAAAGCAGTGCCCAGAAATAAACACAGTATTAATACCTCTGCTGTGGTGGGTTGGAAGTGCTGTCAGAACTGGTTGTGGATCAGCAGTAAAGGTGTCTCTGCAGCCAGGACTGGGATTACTGCCACCCTCGTCATTGCCAGAAATCTGGAGCAGAAGAGAGCTCTGGCTTCCCAGCCCCCTCCCCGCCACCCACAGTGGCACCTCCCATTGGCAGCATCCACAACAGGGGAGGCAAGCAGATGGCAAGGGGGCTTGGAAAGTAGAATTTGTCCTGACAGTATATGACACACGCAACAGTGGGGAAGGGGCTGAGAACAAAAGGGTAAGAACTGAGCTAAATACATTGATGACCGAAGAAAACTGGAGTGGAGGAGGATAGAGAATTAAAAGGAAGGAGGGTTGTGCCAACAGAAGGCGGGGTCACCTGTTTGAGATAACATTTGAGCACAGACCTGAAGAAATGAAAGTGTGATAAGTCATATGGAAGCCTTCAGGCCGAGGAAACGGTTAATACTAAGGCCTGAGACAGGCAGGGAACAGCAAAGCTCCAGTGTGGCCGCAGTGCTAGAGCCTGGTGGGGACGAGGAGCCGAGAGGGAGCATAGGAACAGGTCTTTGTCGATTTTAGATTTTATTCTTACTGCGATGGGAAGCATTCCCACTTTGGGAATTTTGAGCCTGGAGTGGCACTGCCTGACTTATGTTTCCAAAGAGTCCCTGCAGCTACACTTTGGAAAATGAACTCAGGGGAGAGAGAAAGCAAAGTAAAAGCAGGGAAACCAGAGAGAAAACTTAGCACAGTGGTTCTACTCTGCTAATTTCCCAGTATTCAATAGTAATGTAAAATGTAGGGGAAATCTAAACCCTTTCCAGAGAAAATAGAGAGAAGTACAGCATATGCAGAGCATACGTGTGTGTCCTAACTTAGTCCTTTATGAAGAAACTAGTAATTTTATCTAAGGATTAACTAAGCACTTGGTTTTTACTTTCTTCCTCCCTTACACCCTAGCTAGCATTTAAAATTTTGTTGTTTGAAGAACTTTGGTTAGGCAAGAAATGAAGCCATTTACTATATTCTGTGTATGTATATAAATATGTTCTGTGTATAGTATTGCATAGTATTAGATACCGTGAAAGATTAAAATACATATAAACTATGCTGCCAGCTCTTTTGAAAATTTCGGCTTACTTATGAAGAGGGACATGGAAAGTTAAATCATATTATAGGAAATGTTACAAGGTAGCAAATAGGTGGTCCATCGAAATACTGAGGGGTCCAGCAAGAGAGAAGATGAGCGAGGGTCCTCTTCATAGCCTTCTCAGAGAAGGAAGTTGAGCTGGGCTCTTCAGAATCAGCAAGAATTAAACCCACTAAACATTTAAACTTCACAGCACAGACCTGGCACATAGGTACTCAACCATTTACTGAATAAATAAAATCTGTCGTTATTTGATCTTACAGAAAAGTTGAGAGGAAAGAAAATCACAAATGATGACTTTAATTGAAGTGTAGTGTTTCTGCAGTGCTCTGCTATGTTATCTAAATATAGAGGTAAATGGTTATAGTCTGGGTTATAGTTAAGTTCTAAAATTCAACTTTTAAGAAAAATTGACTAAAATAAAAGGAGGTCTAAAGCCAAATTGATTATATTTTTAGGAATACCTGTTTTAGAAATAATGGGATTTTTTTTAACTTGTCATCTTAGAAATACACCCAGAAAATTTCATGTCATTTTTTATTTCCTAAGAGCTTATATTTTTGCATTTACATTTTTTATTTCTGTCTTCCTTTATTCCACTGGTCTTCTGGCCATTTTGCTAATATTTCTGAGAACTTCCTTAAAGAATGAAGAGAAAGACAAGGTTAACAAAACTACTTTGGGGTCTCCCTGGTGGTGCAGGGGTTAAAGTATCAGCACTCTTAAGCTATCACCAGCCATTGTGGCAGGAGTTCAAGCCCAGGCCAGGGAGCTTTCCCACATGGCACAGAAGACCTTTCCTGTCTCACCTGCTGCTCCCCTCAGTAGTAAATTTCACACAGGAGTCAGTCAGTCTTCTACTTCCCTCTCTCTCTCTGGTGAATCTTCACCCCTGATACCACTGGCCTACACCCCAGTTCTTGTAGGCATAAATAAATAAATCTTTAAAAAAAAAAAAAAACTACTTTGCCTGATGATTTCAGATTTGATGTCCACTTTATACTGTGGAAATATGAGTATTTAATATCACTGAATTAGCCATTAGTCAGGAAAAGTGGAATTGTCAGTCTATTATTTTTACTAACATAAAATTTGTCTTTTTATGTTTTTTTTTTCTCCTAGGAGGAAGAAGTAGTACTTTTTTGTCTCATAGCATTAGTAATCAGGCTAATGTTCACCAGTCTATTATAAGCTCCTGGCTCAGCACCGATCCTGCAAAAGACCGTATTGAAATCACAAGCTTGCTTCCCAGTAGGACTTTGTCTGTCAACAGTTTGGATGTTTTAGGTCCTTGTCTTGTGTGTGGAACTGATGCTGAAGCAATTTATGTTACTAGACAATTATTTTCATAAAAATACTGTAATTTTATAATTTCAGATAAAAATGAGCTCTCAAAGTCCAACTTCTATGCAAATTTTTGTTGTTGAAAATTGTGAAATTTGCAGGAGGGGCGTTAGTAAACTATTGATAATGTCAGTGTCCAGATTTGGCTTTTATTAGTTTGTCATTCCCATAACAGTTCAGAGTCTTACAGCTCACAAAAGAATTCAAGGTGTGGGAACATATCAGAGGGCTCCTTGTGCTGATGAATACACTGCCTTCAAACAGAAAGTTCTGGACAGCTGGTGGAGCCAAGTCTTCATTTCTGATTCGTGGAACTTAATACTGTCAGACCACCAGTGAGTTCCTATCTCAGCATTTGGAAGTTTAAACCCGCCCTGCTGGCATCAGCCAGTGTTAGTTTCTATTTTTAATTGCAAGTATTTTCATCAATCTCTCCACATTTTATTTCCTTAGTAATTTTAATAAACTTTTCAGAACTGAATAGAACAAAAATGACAGATTTTTTTGTAATGTTCAAATTCTTTTAAGGGGAAGATCTTTATTAGAATAGGTTTGAACAGAACTATTCCCATCACTCAGACCCAGCTTTCTTTTATTGACAAGAAAAATACATTTTTCCTGTGGATTTTTGCTTTTGCTTAATTTTGCAACATTGTGAAAATTGCCAAACTGGACACTGTGCAATAAGATAGAATTTGACTTTAATGATGTATTAACTTTCAAACTAATATTAAGAGGTAACATGTATGAAACTGATACGGTGATGTAACAGTAGACATCTGTATGTCTCTCTGAAATGTTAATGACTTTAAATGTATTTTAAGACAGTTTATGACACTGTCTTTCAAAAGTTTGTTAGATTAAATGCTTTCTTGAGCTAAGACTTTCATGGCAAATCACTGCTATTACAAAATTGAAATATATGTTCATTTCATAATTCCAATTAACAGTAATTATGGTAAATTTTGCTTTTCTATCTTAATAAATATTTGTAATTTTTTATGCCCTTACCTCAGGGTTTTTGGGTTTTAGCTTTTTGTCAACATTTTAAAAAGTAGTAAAAATATGCCAGTTTTTATATTTGTGTATGTATATGTATATTTGATTCAAAATATTTAAAGATCAGTAGTAACTTTGAATTCCAAAGCATCGGAACAGAAAGTAATATTGCTGATAGGAATTTTTAATCTGTTTATAGTTTTATTGCTGGGACTAAATTTTAAGACTTTCTGTTACTCCAAAAACAAACATAATTAAATTTTAAGTACTTATAATCTCAGAGACAAGTCTTCCATACCCTTTTTTAATCCATTGAGGCGTATACTTTTTTTTGTAAAAATTAAATATACATGTTGTATTTGTAGCTATGTATTCCTGTCGGTAAATACTGGGATTTGATCAAAAAGCCATAGCTGTGAATTTTCTCTTGACTTTGCATTTCCCTTCAGATGACTGCCCTCCCTGACCTACAGTGTCCTTCTCTTTACCTGGTGCAGGGACGCCTTACCCGGTGCAAGGACTCCTTATTCTACTCAGCTGGCTGAGCTCCTCTTCTGGGTAGGCCCCGCCAGCCTCCTCTGAAACCCCCCTGCATTGTCCATGTCCAAGACAGTTAATGGCCGATTGTCCCTCGGCTTTCATCTGCATGTCTGCTGCGGAGAAGGCTTCCTATATGTTGGCAGCAGCACCCTTTTATATGTTGCCAGCAATGTATGCAGTTTCCTTCTGTCATTGATAGTTGAAGGAGGGAGGCAGATATGTAGGCTTAGAACACTAGCTTGGACTAGAAACAGGTTTTAAATTTGAGGCTTTGTTTTTAGGGTTATTTGTAGCCCTATGGTTGAAAGAAAGGATATTTGAATAGTGTTATTTTCTGTCAGTCTGTGAGTTCTGCCAGATTTATTAAGAAACATAAGCCTTATGACATATAAATAATATCCCAGTTTATGAATCTGTCACAGCCTTTATCCATGAAGCGATCAAATAGGTTTCTTTTGAAGGCTACATGGTCTTAGAGTTGGAAGTTACCCTGGATCATTTCCATGGCATTCCCAACTAATTATTAACTTGAAAATACTCAGTGATAAAGTTTCTCACTTCCCAGGGTAGTCACTCATTTGACAGCTTTAATTGATACAGGTTTTTGTTAGTGTTTTAGTGTGAGTGAGATTCAAAAGAATGTGTAAGAAAGGTAGGATCATGTTACTGTGGGCTAATAATTTCTTGTGAGCCTCCTATGAGATAGAATTAATTTATCAAGTTTGCATTAATTTGGAGTGTTTTACTACAAGATTTCCCTAAATAAATGAATTTTCATATGCCGAACTGAAATTTGCCTTGTTATTCTCCAGGAGCCACAAAAAAAACTAATTCTTCTGATCACACATTCTTAACAATGTAATGTAGCTTTTGGAGGGTATGTTGTTTTAATTCCTTCAGTGGATTACTGTGGGCATGATTCCCTTCTCAGTCTGTGTTGCTCTCCTTGGCTACACTCTGCTTTTCCTCCTGAAATCCTTTTAGGTGTCATTTTCTCAAGAAAAATGACAATTGGGACTAAACTGCTTCAAAAGCCCTTGGTGCTGAGCTTCCATTGTGCTGGCAGCCTTGTGTTAGGCAGCCTGTCTCCCTCTACTGGACCACAAGCTCAAAAACAGGGCCCCTGTATCCTGTTAACTGATCTAAGGTAACACTGAATCTTTGTTAACTGAGCTAACATAAAATCTTGTTTTTCTTTAAAAAAAAAACAGTTGCCAAGGGTCTTTAATAAGTGATTTCCAGACTGGACACTTTTCTGGTGTGTCATCCTTGTTCAGAATATTACGAGTCTTACCATCCTGGTTCAGGTTCTACTCCTTTCTTGGCTTATTGTGTTAAGTGCTGACTAGTCAAATTTACCATCCATAAATGTTCATACATGGGGGAAGTGGTATAGGGGTTTTGGCACAGGTGGTCTGATGGAAGGTGAGTGGAACATGCATATATAGAAGAGCAAAAATGTAACCCCCAAATTAAAGTGAAAATAAAATTTTTTTATATGATACAGTAAAGAATTAACATTCCACTCGGCTCTTTTTAAAAGCTAATTTTCCAAATTGCATATTCTCTGTTTTATTCCATTGACTAGAAGATAGCTTAAATGGACTTCTGGGATCCTCTCAATTATCACTGCAACATAAAACACTGGTATTTGGCTACACTTACTAAAATATTTATAAGCCAATTGAATCTATTGACATTCTGCCCCATTTTGTTTGCAAGACTACTGTGAGAAAACATCTCTGCTATAGCTGCCATCCTATCAAACTTTGGCATAATTGTAACGTTCTGTGCACTTTCTGAGTAACACCCATCATAGTGTTATTCATAGATACTTGATAGTAATCCATTCTAGAATCTTCTAATAAATTTCACCAGTGGGTAGGTTACAGCAAATTTGTAGTTAACCAATTCAGATTAATTCAATGGTCTGAAGCATATCTTACTGATATGAAACCTAGGGGAATCCAAGCCATAATATGCAACTATTTAAAACACCTTCATTGGCATCACTTTGGAACCACAATGTTAAATGAACAGCTAATAGTGATATTCTAAACTAGTTATCTCAGCATAAAAACAAACCCCAATGTTCATTATTTCACTACATGGGGGTGGGAGAGAGGAGTGATGAGAATGGAAACGTAGAACAGTAGCTATCAGCTGACCCGGCTTTTAAAAAGATTAATTAAAAATGGTACTGAATTTGGGCCCTCCCTGGTGGTGCAACTGGTTAAAATACAGCACTATGAAGCTCTCCGCAGCCCACTGCAGCACTAGTTTGTTCCCCAGCCAGAGAGGTGATCCATCTTGCGTAGCAGACCTCTTCTGTCTCATCCACTGTTCCCCTCAGCAGCGTATTTCAGTCCATCTGCCTGTTCTGTTCTCCACTCTGTCTCTGGTGACTCCTCTCACTCTCTGCCTGCACCTCTGGCCTGTACCCCAGTTTTTGTATGCATGAATAAAGAATTTCCTTGGGGAGATGGCAGAGGTGATAAGATTCTATGGGCAAAAGTCCCTTCTGGAAAGGGCAAGAAGGCCTGTATAATTTTATAAGTCTTATTAACATTTTAGCTTGAAATGGACCCGGTTGGAAAAAAACCTAGGACTATTAAGTGACCCACTTCGGTCAAATTTTCTACAAACTCTTTGTGGAACATAGATTTTTCAATCACGTCCTCTTGGAATGTAAATTTTTAACAAGTTTTCATATTTTCAATTTCTGGATACAATAGGCGACTGTGGTATTAAACATCAGAAAAAGAAGCCTTTAGTTAAAAAAAAAATAACGAAATGAAATACTTTAAAATAATGGATGTATAGATTTTCTAGAGGCAGAACTAGCAGTGTGCTCTTTACAAAGCTGGACCTAACGCCATCAACCCAGTAATTCCGTCCCAACTGAACACATGCTCCAACTCGACTCAAAAATTAAAACTGTCTCTGTCATCAGTACAGTTACTCCACTAATGGCAATAATGACTTCTTCCAGCCACCCTTCTCTTGATAGATAAAAGCCTCTCAACTGAATGTCTTGGCTCAAGAAAACTTATCTGGGGCCCTTGCTGGTGGCACAGCACTACGAAGGTGGCAGCAGCTGCTTCAGCATGAGTTCGACCCCCGCCCCAAAGGTGACCCACAGGGCACAGACCTCTCCTGACCCGCCCGCTGCTCCCCTCAGCAGTGGACTTCCTCGATCTGCCTGTTCTGCTCCCCACTCTGTC